AATAATGACCCAAAGCATTCTGCAAAAGCAACCCAAGAGTTTCTCAAGGTAAAGGAAATGGGATATTGTTCAATGGCCAAGTCAGTCGCCTGATCTCAACCCAACAGGGCATGCTTTTCTACTATTAAATCCAAAACTGAAGGGAAAAAGACAAGCAGCAACTGCAGGTGGATGCATTAAAAGGCCTTGCAGCATATTAAGGGAGGAAACAGACAATTTGGTGATATCTGTGGGTTCTAGACTTCAGGCAGTCATTGTCTGGAAAGGATTTTCATCCAAGTATTAGAAAGAATCTTACTTTTAAAATGATATTAGTTTGTTGAGTTTCTTTTGAGCCTCTAAAATTGGGGCCTGTGTGTAAAAATGGGTGTAATTCCTCAAAGGTTGATGTAAACTATTTGAATTAAAGCTGAAAGCCTGCACTTCATCTTGATTGATTTAAGAAATCCTTGCCTTTCTCCATCAGGTTATAGAGCTAATTTAATATTGTTACACTGTAACAGATTAAAAGGTATGTAACACGAAGTTAAGAAAATCTGCCTTGTCAAAACTAAAAGTCGTGTGTCATGAATGCCATGTTTCCTCTTCTCAAACAGGAGAGATGTCAGTTTGTTGTTTTTGCTAAATTTGCAGTGACACCACCACAACCTCAGGAAAACACACAGGAAATTACAGCAATAATAACAAGCTAAAATACTTTGCACATTTTGTTAGGGATTTTTGCAGTCTTCATTTCTTAAAAAAAAAAAAATCCTTTCATTAAATAATTGTAACTATTAAGCAATACAACAAGCATAGAAAATAAAGCAAATGAAACCAGCTCACAAGCGCAATCAGAAAAATCCAAAACATTGCTCATATTCAAGAATGGCAGATTTGAGCTTTAGTCCCTCCAGCAGCAGCAGCAGCAGCAGCAGCAACAACACACACACACACACACACACACACACACACACACACACAGGTTAAATTTTAACAAATCACACAGAATCTAACAGTGCAGCTGCACTTGTGCATTAACCCTCACCCTGATCCCCTCACACCCTCTTACAGCCATGATTAAGGGCCACTGGGCTCACGCAAGAGGCCATGCTATCACTCCCCACACCCTGCTAATGTACACCAACTGTACCTATAGCCCATTATGGAAGCAGAGCAAGAGTAAATTTCCGTTTAACAGCCGCGCATTTACACGCACTCCGTCATCTGCCCCGTTGTTAGTTTAAGCCAGCCATTTCATAACTGCCTCTATGTGAAGGTGGTGCATGTGTGTTAATGACAGTGAGGAAGTGTGTAGGTTTAAAGACTAGTACTGCAGGGCAGCGAAGGCAAACTTCATGTGTACACACACACACACACACACACACGCAATTGATTTTCAGAAAGAGAGAAGCTCCTCTTGCTGGAATCAAGATTAATAAGAGGCCCATCAGATCAGTTAGCAAAAGTAGGAGGGAGAAAAAAAAAAAAAAAAAAAAAAAGAGGGGAAGAAACGGAAAAAGATATCTGTAAATTAGGAGAAAGTAACGAAGAGAGCACACAATACATACTACACATACTACCAGTTTAGTCTCTCTGCACACAAAGGAAAGAAGCCAGAAAAATACCTGCACGGCTACATTTCCACCCAACAATCCTCTACCCCTGCCCGATATAAGTCAGAGTAGAAGAGCCGATCCAACACAAGGCTTTTGTCAAGGTCCATATAGACTCATAACTAAGCCTGAACTTCTATGGAGAGTTAGACGTGCGGGCACGCACACTCTAAGGAGACTGTTCTTCTGGGACATGGGGGGCTTTAATGACAGCAAGCTGCACTGAAAAGGGGTCAGGCACGGGGGGGGGGGACGACGACTCATTGTTCAGAGGCCACACACACACACACACACACACACACACACACAGAGAGTCACTTTACCTCACACAGGATAACACGCCCACACTTATCCACACAAAAGTGAGCAAATAAATTCAGTTCACGCTCATACATGAATTGACAAAGTTGCAGGCTCATGTACAGTCACGGATACTGGTTTTATTTGTCTATGAATGCATACGTGAACACACACCCTTTCAGCTGTGCTTGCAGTGCGAGTGTACTCTGGGGTAGGAAGGATCCAATTTGATATGACCTTGAGAGCAGAGAGAGGTCTGGTGGAAGAGAGGGATGGAGTGTGAGGAATGAAGTGATGGTTTCAGTCAGATGCCTGTTGCAAATACTTGTGAGAAATGAGATGACCTTGAACTGACTGAGATAAATAATAGAACAAGCCACAGCAGTGTGACACAGTGACATCTGTACACGTAAAACGGGCATGCATCAAGTGTTGAAGTTAATCTAACCTACGTGTTCATGCAGCATAGTACGGTGTAATAAAGCAACAAATCACAGTCAGTTTTATTTTGATGGCTCCAGATTTACAGATATGCTAGATATCGGCACAGAATTTAAAAAGTAATCTTTTAAGTTCAACGTGAATTTTCTTCAATCATAACAACAAGCGTAAATGCACAGCATTTAAACACAAAATGAACACTGTCAAAAACTCATTCTGACAAAAAAAAAAAAAAAAAAAAAAAAAAAAAAAAAGGTTTGTTAAGATGATAAATTCAATAATTTGTTCCCCCCCATCCGGTTTAAGAAAAAAAATAAACAAGAGTGCCAAGAGACAATTACCATCTATAGCCTTTAAGTTTCTTCCATTAAAAGGAAAATTAAAAACAACATGTTTCATATTCTCTACTAGCAGACGTGAATTTTCTGGTGCAAATTAGCAAACAGAAAGGCGCGCTTATCATTGAAGACGTTTATTACAAGCAAATCACAGATGTGCATTAACAAACAGTTCTCAGCTTCTGTTTGTTCGTCTTGAGCACGCTCTTAAAAACATCAGACAGATCCCAGATGTGAATGTGTGCAGCACTGAGATCAGCAGATAAGTGGGTAATGTCGACACGCTGCAAATACAATCTGCATGTGTCATCTGTAAACGCATCCCTTAATTAAATAGGAAAAAAATCTTAGACTTCATATGGTGAAGCCAAATAGCTGCTAAAACTGGAAGTATTGAAGCCTTGGACTACAATACCTTTTAGTCATTGTGAGATGACCCTTAGAGTTCATGTGCCCAACATGTGAACATGAACAAAATCTACCCATCCCTGCATTAGTATACTGATCAACCAGATAATTCAAAGTTGATACTTTGGCTAGTTAAGACATGTTTTGGTTGATCAGTTTCAGTTATACAGAGCCTCAAAAAGTTTAATTGTTTAGTGGACTCCACCAGCTTTGAGCTGTATAGTAATTGTCCACAACTTGTTGCAGTGAGGCATGCAATATAAAAGTTAACGAGCAGTGAAAAAAGTCTTCCATGTGGAACCATTTCAATTTACAAAATGAAAGCAGACCAACACGCACTTGTGATCTTTGAGACGCAAGAGAAACACTAGAAAATTTTTAAAGTCTCTATTCTTTGTGGTCAATATTTTGTGCTCAAATGGACACTTGCACTTTTGCTTTTTATTTTGTTAGTAAGAGAGTCATTTGGGTATTTTAAGGTAAATCCTCTATAACCTGCATCAAGACTTCTCTAGATGCTTACTGAGAATGAGCGCAGGAAAGCGGTAATTGGGAGGGTAATTCGACCAACAGCGTCTGGAACTCCACATAAACGTGTTGCTGTTGGCCTGCAATCGCACCGTGCAGTTTTTGCTTGGCTCACAGTTCAACATATTTTTAACAGCCGAGCAATAATTTTCTTACCTGTTCTTCCCACACTTTGTCCACCAGTAACATGATCTCTCTATTCTCATAGCATTCTACTCCCACACTTTTTCATTGCCTCTCTCACCATCGCTCTTGCCCACTGACATGTACATATTTACTAAATATTGCAGCAAACCTGCCAACTCCTCATATTTACTATCATGACAAAAGAAAGAAAGAAAAAAAAAAAAAGACAGTCGCGCACACACACACACACACACACACACACACACACACACACACACACACACGAATCAGAGCAGACAGAGGGAATGGCGGGTGATATGATGCAGGAGCTATCGATCAGGCCCTTCGTAACCCATTTTCTGCCTTCTCGGTGGTAGAAGAACCAGTACATGTCAGTGCGTGCATGTGTGAAATGAATTTATCAAGATGCTCTGTGTATGCATACTGGGATCAAACTGACAAAGCGGAGGGAAAAAATAAATAAACTGAGCTTGTTTTTCTGCATTCTAGGTAATCCGAGAAGTAAATCAGGTTCCATCAATCATTTCTACAACATATCATAATGGGTGAGTTGCATGGACTAGGGACTGCCAGAGAAGGGAGGGGTACAGGGTGGAGTTCTCAGGGTGGTGGGGGTTGGGGGACAAAGTAGGGGGGAATATAAGGATTGAGGGAAGGATGGGCCTCCTGCCCTGAACTTGAACTTGGAGCTGGTGGGGTCAGAGAAGGGAGGAGAGGGTCAAGCACTCAGCGCAGCTGGAAAAGGAAAAAAAATCCAGTTGAGTGACATCAATATCTCCCAGCTTAAAGGCAGATGGGGGAACAAGGGACAGAGTGCTATTTAGCACGCTCTGTTCCAAGACAATCCCAGCATATATACACTGATGCTCGTTTTACCGTCATTCAGTGTTTGCTGGTTTTGTAAAACACAGGCAAGAATGATCGCCTGAGATATGCCACAATCACTCTTTGGATCCTGATGCACAGACTTAGGAACGTGACCCAACAAAGGTAGGGGTGTGTGTGTGTGTGTGTGTGTGTGTGTGTGTGTGTGTGTGTGTGTGTGTGGGGGGGGGGGCAACAACTTCGACACTCTGGACTGATTCACACTGGTTAGGAAAGATTTAAAGAGATACAAGATATGGAAGGCGAAACTTTAACAGGGGAGTTGAAGAGTGCAATTTTGCAACAGTTTTAAGACGACGTGCTGATCTACATTTGCAACACAGAAACGCAATAAGTCAAACCTTGCTGACCATCTTACCTTGGTCTGGAGATAGTGGGGGTAGTAGTAGGTGTAGTGGGGGTACATTGGCTGCTGTTCCAAACGTTTTCCCATGTAGCTGGAATCCAGTTGAAGGTCCTGGAGGCTGATCACTTCCGAGGGGATGGCCTGAATTCTTTAAATGACTGCTTCCAAGAGTGGGGGATGAAGAGAGAACGCTCTCCTCTCACTGGTGAAGGTGATACACGCGCAGAAGGAGGAATGGATAGAAGAACAGATAGTGCTTGAGATTTTAGTCCGTCTACTTGTCTGAGAGCTCAAAGGGAATCTCACAGAACCATTCCTTGCGTGGGTCTGGAAAGAGATTCCGGAGTGGCAGCAGAAAGAGGTTTGGGGAGAAGGAGGTGTGGAGTGAGGAAAGGAAGATATGAAAGGATAGCAGAAATACGGGAAACAATAGAGGGAATTGAAAAGCCTGACTGAGAGGGGGGGGGAAAGCAGAGGGAAGAAGAAGAGGATGATAAGGAGGAGGAGGGATGAACGGCTGGGTTTCGGTTGCCGGTTCCCTGCACACTCCGCTCTAAAAATTTGACTCACTCTTCTTCTGTGCTGCCCTGAACATGCCCCTTAATTTGCTTTCCAGTGTCTTTCTCTTGTCTCTCTCCAGCTCTCTCTCTCTCTTCCTGTGTATCCGTTTCCCTGTCTCGTTCTTCCTCCCCCTCTTGTGTACCAGACGAGACCCTGATCCCTCTGGGAGCTCGGCTGTATCCTGGAGAACACACGCTGTCCTCTTCTCTATCCTTAAAAGACAGGGAAATCAGCGATGAACTCACACATGGATGTGGAGCTGGGGAGAAAAGAGGAGGAGGAGGAAGAGGAGGCGGAGGTGGAGGAGGAGAGAGGGTGGTCTAGAGCTGAAGCTGTGACTGCCTTTTTTTTCCTCACTCCCTCCCTCTTTTGTTAAGCTCCGGGGATAGATAGGTAGATACTGCTGAAGCCCGGCGTGGAGGATGAGCAAAAAGAAAAAGCCGTGGTGAAAACTCCTCTAGCTGAGGAAGAAGCAGATGGCGTTATCCAGACGTGCACTCACACAGAGGAAAATCCCTTCTGATCCACAAGGTGCCCCCTCCAACTCTCTTCTCTTCCCCTCTCTTTCTTCTCAAGCTCACTCCCTGACGGCTTGCTTCCCACTGCGCCTGGCAGCCGTCACTGTGTGTGTGTGTGTGTGTGGTGGAAGTGGTGGCGGCAACAGCGGTGGTGGAGGTGGTGGTGTGTGCGTGCGGTATGTGTGTGACTGTGCATGTAACTGAGAGGGGAGTGTGTTTGTGTGGCTGTTGGCGTCTGCTCCACTGTGCGTGCTGAGGCATAGAGGGGCTCGGCTCAGCGCAGCTATGCTCCTCCCTCGCTCTCTCTCTTCCTCTCGCTGTCTGGCTCTCTCGCCCTCTGTGTTTATGATGGAACTATAGAACAGTGGGAGTGGCTGGTCCTGCCCTCTTCCAAGCCCTTGTGAGTGTGTTTGTGCTAAATAGAATATGAGAAAAAGAAAGACCGATAAGGGCTGCTCAGCTTGAAAGGTGGAGGTGGGTGGCGGTGTGAGCTGGAGTGAAGAGTGCAACGAGGATACATAAAGAATATTTGGAAAACAGAGGACCCCCTGCTGGCACCCTACAGGTGCAGCAACAATTGAGCAGCAAAATGGTCATTTTTCACTACATGTACGTGATTAATTAATGCCATCCTGGTTTAAACAGACTGTTGAGATTATCTAATATAACCAGCAGAGATAAATTAATACATAAAAGCTTATAAGCTTAAAACAGTCCCTTCCAAACTGCACAGGATGCCTTGCTGCACACAGCAATGCTACTTTCACACATGTCAGCAAAAGGGCCCGACATGGAGGGTGTATGTAGTTCAGTGGTTGTATGGCACAGTGACCCACTGACACAGTGCTGCCTGTTATGTGATGTAACCAGGTTTAAGTAGTGCTCTTACATAAGCAAAGTGAGCCATGCATGAAAAGGCTGCTCTGCCCTCTGACTACAGCTCTCTGTGAGAAAGAAAGATACAAGGGTTGGCAGACAATGCACTGCAGTGGAAAGAGGGGGCACAAGAACAGAAAGCATACATGAAAACTCTTAGATAAGAGCTTCATTTCTTGTGGGCAATTAAACTACTTTACAGCCTGTGATGCAAAAACACATTAATATTGTGGGCTCCTCTAAGAGCCATTTGTCACTATGCCTACATGTACATTAATTTTTTCATACCACTCTCCACAGGTTTGAGTGAGTCGTGCAAGTTATAAGCAAGTCGAGCTAATCTGGTGAGTAGAGAAGTCATTGCTCTGGTCAGTTAACTCAAATAACATTTGGCCGGTCTACCTTAGTTTACACTCACTGTAGTCATAAAAAGTCACATTTTCAGCAAAAACCAAACTGTAACAACTATACTGAGTTTTGCTCTGAAATTCTAATATAACTTTATTCTTTGAACATCTTTTGAAGATGAAACCGTTTTCCTACATAACAGCTTCTGACCATATAAGGTTTTCATAATAGCAGCAATACTGGTCAGGACAAACCAGTTAAGCAAAACTGGATAACCAAAATTATATTTTTCACCTTAAAAATATACTGTAGCATCTCCCTCTCTGGTTTAAAGGGAAACTTCACGTACTTTACTAAAACTGACTGTTGAACTATTCCCATTGTCACAGAGTATTTTTTGGCAGTAGTGGTAAAGACAGCAACACTTGTCTCTACTACTACTACTAACATAATGTTTGAGAAACATGGCTCTCGACCAAAGACTATGAAAGTGAAATGGTCCTTGAAATTACTAAATATTATTGACCAAACCAATCCCTGTTTCGTTGTTTTCCCCATAGTTCACAAAAGTGGAAAACCCAAGAGGAGAAAATGATGTTTATGCTCCTGCTTTTCTTCACCTTAAGGATACCCGTGGCCTTAGATACTCAATATTTACAAGTTGAATGGGTGGTAGAGCCTTCAGATTCCAGGCCTCTCTTCTGTGGAACCAGCTTCCAGTTTGGATTTGGAAGACAGACACCATCTCTACTTTTAAGAATCTTGAGGTAACTGGTTGATATGTGGTGCTGTAAGTCACCCTGAAACAAACTGTTGTGTTGGGCTGTTTAACGTCAAAATTGTGAAGACACATGCATTCATGCAGTTTTCCCCTGCAACAGACTGGTGATAGAGTGGCTAAAGGCTGGTGCACCATGCTTCTTGCCTAAATAAGGACATGCTACAAAAAGAAATGGACAAACAAGGACTGTTTTTTCTACGCCTAACATTCAGACACACTCATTGTTCGTATGCATCAGGAGTAATTGAGTTCAGCATCTTGCGCTAGGATACTTCGACATGCAGAGTAAAGATGCCAAGAATCTACCCACCGCCCTTAGCAGCAGACCTGCAACATTTATGTACAGACATCTTCAGGGGATGAACATAAACACTGCTCCATATATAAGAGATGGGTAAAAAAATTCTATACCACTGATAATGATGATCTTTACAGCCTTTTGTGGACCAAGCACACTCAGGTCAGAGTTTATGCACTTCTGAACCCGGAGAACTTTATAATTCTGACTTTTGGATGAACTATTCTCTTGTGTCCCGTGTCCAAAATGCAGGAATTAGAGACCACTGTAGTGTTAGAACTCAGTTTATTGTCCTCTTTTAGCTCTTACTACAGAGAAGGTACAAAATATGAGTTCTTACTGACATAGGCGTAGTGTAATTGGTACAGATTTAATTGTAGGGTGACTGGTTGAACACACTGATGCAGCTCCAGCAGCCACTGCCAACATATTACCCATGTTAACAAAAGCTCTTAACACAGTCCTTAAAAATGGAAGAAAAACACAACAAATTTAATGTCCAAGGTTTGTGGAGTGTGTATACAATAAATGAAATGAAGGGCAACTTTGACCCAGTATGAAATATTCTAAATCTTCACTACCAATTCCACGTAACTCCCCTATAGTCATCCACCACACAGGGAAGCAACATAGAAAGAAAACAGAGGGTGAAACTGGATAATGAGGAAATAAAAGAAGAGGTTATGCTGCATCACCAACTGCTGGCCAGCTATAACATCCAATTTCTCTCAGCAACGCAAAAACAAACATTAAAAAGGTTTGTTGTTTCCAGGGAATTTCCCCAGTGGGTATTTACCACCAGGTAGTCCTCAGAACCGCTTGGTCAAATAAAGCTCTTATTAGGATCTAACTGGGTTTTCAAGAGTTAATTGAGGAAAATCTTACCGGTCTTACCTTAGCACTGATGTGTGAATGCAGGTCTGAGTCAAAGTGTGCAACACAGTTCTAACCTTTCATCGTGCCCGTAGGCAAGCCTGAATTCAGCACTGTAAATCCCTTTCATCTGCCTTGTTAACCATTTGACAAATTGAGCTTGTTTACTCTGCTTCTGAAACAAATGTGTCATCAGGAGTGCATACATTTATTTCAATACAATAAGAGTGTTAGGTAATCAAAATAACTTGATCTTTACAATTGTGTTTTTGTGCAAATGTAGGTGATGTTTAAGAATTGTTTTTGCATGGTTTAGTCTTCAAATTTGCTTATATACTGTCAACCACTTAGTTTTAGACTATATTTCTTCGAAAGAACCTGTGATTATTCATTACAGTAAATTATTACTAACCATAAAATCAAATTCTTTTCAACCCAAAGTAATCCTGGAAGGTAGTAAGTCATCAGATAAATGGCTGCTCATCTTACAGTGTGTATGATGTACTTGAAATGGGAGACAAGTGACTCAGATTGAAGTCATTAGCCGACAAGCAATTAAGCACAAGTACAAACCATCAAGATTTCTCTTTTGCATGAAGAAAACAGGTTCCTGCTTTGACACACACTCTTCAATTAAAAAGAAAAAAAGTTAAGTTAAAATATGATGCCACATATTTTTATAACCATACAAGCTGCTCTATGAGGCTTAGAAACAATATTCCTCTGAGCTGAAGGCTAACATTGACATCCCTCTACTGTTACAGCATGCTAGCACCTGTTAATGTTAGGCTCAAAAGGTCATATTTACTATAGTTGCTTTAAACTTTAACAGTGCTGGACTTTGCTACATTACATGTGTAACATTAACCATGGCAACCATTCTGGCAAGCAGGACATCAAATTATCCAAGCTAAAGCAGCATCACCAACTCTCACACTCATTTTTTCCTCACACTCAAAGGAAGAGGCCTCAAAGTCTTTTTTAATGTGCGAATGGCAACTTTCATATTTTAATAACACCACTTGTCCATAAACAACAAGGCATCTGAGACAGTTTAAACACTTAAACTTTCCGAAGGATAATAACGAAGCTCTAGATGATTCATGCAATCCAGGTTTAACAAAATGTTAATGAGGCTTGAAGGGTAGTTTATTGCTGTGTGCGTAGGAGTCTCTAGACATGATCCATTTAAACATCCCCAAATCGAGAGACTTTCATAGATTTCTGCTCTAAAATCAACTGTCAGGAGCAAACAGTTACTCCTGAACACTTTTCTATACCAGACAGGTGAGTCTGTAGTATAAATAAAAAAAATAAAATAAAAAAAAGCATTTGCATTAATGATCATCATAATGTGCCTGATCTGTTTTAGTGTAATCATAAAAAAAGAAAATTGCAACAGATATTCAACAATTTCACAAGTTTAGGAAACTAAACTGGCTCAACAGTTTTATTAAAAGGAAAGCTGATTTGAGCAGATAATTTTGGGTAGTTTTCACATAATTCTATTCCATCATGTCCAATCTTGAATCATTTCAAATGATCAAATCACTATTTTTATTATGTTGGGGAAATAAAACAAGCGATTTGTGAGAAACTGCCAGCAGCAGAAATTATGTAAGTATACCTTTAAAGAGCATCCATTCCCTGTCAGACTCTCACACACAGTGTTTGATCGAGTAAGGTTGCACATTCATTCAACACCATGTGCAGAATGCCAAAAAACAATGCATACAAGGAGCCAAGGGATGTGTATGTGTGTAATATCAGTAGCATACCAACCGAATGTTTCATGAATTCTTAAGATTCTGCTGACACTGAAGTTTACGAAAGAGAGGGAATTGATTCCTCCACAACTTCATAGTTCTATTATGAGCAGCACAATCTTTACATCTCACTCCATACGCTGCCAGAATAAAGCTTCCTAATTACCTTATCCAGTGACAGGACAGCCTTAATTACTATAGTAAGTTCACGCCAGTTAATTGTCTTAA